ATGAGCATGTTTGGTTTTGCCCAAAGTCCCTAAAGCATGTTTGGGTTGACTGCGACACATGTCTTGTCTTGTTGGCATGGCCTAGGATGAGTTTTGAAGCACTTGGAACTGCTTGAGAGCAGTAGTGAGCAAGTGCGTGTCAGAACTCTGAGGTTCTGTCTTGTTGCAACTCACTCCGTGTCCCCGCCACTTCGTTCGTTGCCGTTGGACGTGTAGGATGGGAGTAGGAGTGCAGAGTGGACTCTGAAGCTTCGCTGTTTTGCTGTTCGGAAGTGACCTGAAGTCCCCGAGGTGTAGACCAAAGCAGTTGCATTGTTCTTCTGCTTTACCTCCTTTGTAGAACAAAGTTGAGATGGAATTCGTAGCTTTTGGAGCCCTTAGCTCTTGGAGAGAGCTTGCTGCAAGAACTGAAGCTTGCTGAACACTTTGGTGTTTGGCTCAAGTGCAAAGTGAAAAAGAGACTGCTGCGCGAGCTCTGCTTTTCACACTTCAAAGCTTTACTGACAAGAGTCTTCTTTTTCTTTGATTGCTGAACTGTACTGTGCATGTGGAGATGATTTTGGATCAAATTTCTGATTTTGAAGTTGTTGACAACTGATTCTGCACTGACACGAACTCCAACCATGGCAGCTCAATGGCATGGAGGTTGAATTTGTTCTGTTGAACAAAAAAAAAAGATGGTCTTGGCGTTTCCCTTCTGGCCCCCTTTCGGGCCCTTCTCCTGACCTCCGCCCGCCTCTGCCTCAGCCCTCTGTGACCCCTTCCTGCTTCTTGCTGGCATTTTGACCCGCCCTGATACTTCCCTGTAACCCGTCCCCTTGCACTTGGACCCACTGGCATCCCTGCACCTGCCCCCACTTTGCATTCTGGCGCCAAATTCTTCATATAGGTAGAATAAATTCCTTCTCAAGAGGTCCTCAAGAGGCTTTCAAGAGGCTCAGAGAGGCTTTGAGCCTTCTTTCATGCAGGTAGAATAAATTCCTGCTCAAGAGGTTCTCAAGAGGCTTCCAAGAGGTTCAGAGAGGCTTCCACCAGGCGCTGGATGAATACTCAAACTCTGCTTGTCAGCTGTTCACATACAATTATTTCTATTTATTTCGTTTTGAGGGTTTAGGGTTTAGGGTTTAGGGTTTAGGGTTGAGGGTTCGGGGTTTAGGGTTCAGGGTTTAGGGTTCAGGGTTTAGGGTTTAGGGTTTAGGGCGTCTCGCCGCGCCGCGGCAGTAGATGTCATGCAGAGATGGCGCCTCAACCTCTCTGAGCCTCTTGAAAGCTTCTTTCAAGAGTTATTGCAGTCTTGACGTGAAGAAGAACTGAGCTTATTGAGCCCCGTTGGCAGAAACGCCTTCTAATTCATTGGTTTCTAGTTTCTGGTTCTGTTGACTGCGAGTAAGCTGTGTTTGGATGATTGCTAAGTCATTCATTCGGTTGTTGATCTTCCACAAGAAGGTCGGCAGCATCAAGAATTGTTGTACAGTAATATGTTGTAAAGCTGTTAGTGTGAATGATTGCTGAAGCATTCATTCAAGGGACGGTGTTAGGATTGAGCTTTACTTCCTGCACATGTACATTGTCCATGCATGAACAACATGCAACACTGACAGAGAACATTGGCATGTGGACATTGCCATGTCCATGGTGCATTGGCTCAAGGTGCCATCAAGGATTGGCTCAAGGCTCAAGGACTGGCTCAAGTGCCAAAAGATTGGCTCGCCCAAGTGACACAAAAACGATTGCTGAGCGAGAGATTGCATCTGACAGTTGCATGCTTGTATTGTGGTGTGGTCAAGACCATTGATCGAACAGTCATGAGTTTGGTAGTTTTACATACAGTTTGATATTGAACAGGAAGACACCTTTGAAAATTTCATTAAAGGGGGCTTAAAGGGGGGCTTAAGCCCCCCTTGTCAAAAGGGGGGGGGGCCCATTCTCATTCGCTTAGCTAGCTGCCACGTACATGGGCGTCGGTCTTTCTCAGTGTGACAAGTTCCTCGCATTCGTCCAGGCTTCTTTCAATGACTGGGGGGGCCACCATGGCAAAATGCAATTCCGGGCGATTGCGCATCCATCTCATGTTGCAGCGTTGCTCCTGGTCCTCAACGTCGGATAGAGTTGCGCTGAACCGGCAAAGCTGTGTGGGCGAGTACCTCCCGGTGGCTCAAGCGCGGTGCTCAAGCCGATCCATCAAGACCGTCAAAACGGGGAGGCCGTAGGAAAGGCTCTGGAGCGAAGTGCTGGACTAGAACCCAGGTGATGCGCCATCGCGAGGTCACGCGGCAGCGAGGTCGTAACGATGGTGGGAGCATCCAATCTGCAGTCCGACCCTTAGCTGCTTAAGAAGATCTTTGACCTCAAGCGAGCTTGAACGTCATCGAGGGTTGTGAGCCTCACTTGAAGGCTGCAGTGGCGGCCGGAAGAGTTCATGAGACTGCACGTGGCCCTCGCGGTACCCCTGATGCTTTGTGAGAAAAGAAGTATTCGAATGGGTGGAATAATATCGCTTGTGATTGCGTGGCTCTGCGACACTCATAATTTATGCAGTGCGCGCGCGCACGCCTTGCAACGCCTTGATCATTGACAGGTAATCGTGCTGCAAGTACAAACCTTTATTTTCCGGAGAAAAATTTTCGAATTCTACGAATGAGAAAGTTTTTCGGCTCAGACGAAGAGAGGCCACAGCCCTCTCAGTCACAACCCTCGTGGAGAGGGTCGGGAAAAATTTTTCTGCCCACCCACCCACTCCAATAGCGCCTTACAATTGGCAGTTGGGATGAAACGTGATGCCGGAACAGCGGGTCTTGATGAAGACACGAACAGAGAATCAAGGATCCAATGGCTGGCAGTGATGGTAACCAATGTGCCGGTTGTGGATGTTGTACTTTGTAGAGTGGCGACCACAGGAACAGTTGACGACGTCAAATTTGCGGTCGCTGACGATGTGTGGCATCGCTCTGGGCATGACTTACGTACTTCCAGTTTCCGCTTGGAAATGCAGGGTCGTCATGTGCCTTTCAGCACGAACCTCAGCGATCTACCGCTGCACCTTGGAGCGTGTGTGCACTTCGTTGTTCAACTCAACCATTGACAGGCCGCTCACTTAGGTGGAACCTCTGAGTGCAGCAGAGAACTCTGCTCTTAGCACTTTGTGTAGTGTTTCACGGGGGAGATTTCGTTTCTCACACACCTGCAGAGGACAGATCTCGGATGGAAGCAGACATGGCAAATCCCCTTCCTTGGAAAAGGTGCCAGTGCTTAAGCTTCAGTCTTGTTAGCGTGAGGGTGCATGTCATTGCAGTCTGTGCATGGAATTGCATTGCTGTGCATGGAACACCAATGAATGAGCATAGCATCAATGGATTGTCCTGTACTTTCAGCCAGGAAATGTTTTCATACATTTGAAACATTTTTGTTTGGAAAATAATAATTGACAATTTTTAGGGAGATATATTCCAGTCTGAGCGATAGATTGAGATGAGTTTTTGTCCAAGTGGATTTTAGATATGTTTGGGATTTGAGATACACTAAACCAGGAAACCCCCGGTCCCAGAAAGAGTACCTGAGCGAAGTGTTTGCCTACAGAGACGCAGTAGGAAACAATTTTCACCAAGTGCAGGGACTCCGAAATGGAGTGCACTACGAGGCCATCACGCAATACCAGATGAGCCCAACGACAAGTTGTACTAGGAAGTGAAGAACCTGCGAGTGTACAGGTGATGTTGAGCTTGCAGTTCGCACAACATCCAGGCGGGGTTTAAAGTTTTTCTACTACCTGGGAACCGAGCTTTTCAGCGCATGGCCGAAGGTAGAAATCTTCTAAACACTTTGATAGCATGGGTGTACCGTCATCTGCTTCCAGTCGCAAACAGCTGAGCATATTTCAGGTTTGAATAGTTGCGGTGCGCATGAAAAAGATTGTTGGCTTCGATGCTAGCTTGCCTGCCGTTCTGCTAAACATCCACTTTTGGTCCGAAAAGGCGCTGAACGGTAACGCTCAATCATCAAGCCTTCAGGGGCCTGAGAAGCCCCATCGGGGTTCCTAGGGCCTTAGGAGTCCGCAGAAACCGGGAGAGCCCTTTTGATGAAAGTCAGACCCCTCAGCCCTGAACCCCTAAATAGAAAGTAGAACCCTCACCCCCCCGCCAATCTTGTATTTCAGGATTGGGCTCAATCATCCTGATCCCTACACCATTTTGAACCCGCCACCCGCCCCCCCCTCCCCCCCAAGCTTTCCTGAGCAATCAGGATTCCGCGACAGCCCCGCGACACACTTATGAAACAGCTGGGCGCGACGTACGTATGCAACAGCGGGGGTGGGTCGGGGGACACTGCAACATAACGGGGTTTTGTTGATGATTTAGTATGAGTCCAAGCCACAGATAGCCACTACCGATCCGCTTTGCAGTTTGGCTTCAAAGAACAATATATTCGCTTGAGGCAGCATCGACTGACATTTCCTCAATTGAGGTTTCCCATGTCCCGTTCATGCGCACTCGCGGCCGATGACCATATAAAGCTAAGCATTGAAGCATCGAAACATGCAGCCTCCAACATGCATGCACATGGCAGCCGGCGTCCATGGCTACCAAGGCTTTGTGCAGGAATAATACCCGGCTTTAGAGTTCCGAGTTTGGAGTTCGGGTTTAGGGTTTGGGGTTTTGCATTCAAAGTTTGGGAGTTTGGGCTGGTGGTTTCAGCTTCTTTTGTCTATTTTTGTGGGGTTGCCAGGTTCTGGTTCTGTCCGTGTAAAGGACCTACTAGGTAGGCCCTTAAATTTTTTTAATACTTTCCCTTATTAGGTTTAAAAGGACCCTATTGAAGAATATTTTTCACAGGGCTTTTAGGGCCAGCCTAGCCTGTGCCTTTGGGCATCAAGTTTAAGACTCGGGGAGAACCCCATCTCTTTTCATTTGCCTGGCGTGGGCGCTGTGCAACCCAATGCATCCGCAGCTCCGACTCAAACCCAAGTTTGTTTTCTTTGCAACCGGGTCCACCTATTCTCCGTGATGCTACGGGGATGGCGAGCCGTGCTCACGAACCTCATCCTGGCCGTGGTTGCTGGAGGGGATGAGAGCAACCATAGTAACTAGACGGTTTTGGGATACGGCCTTTGTGTGTGTGTATTTGAGGGGCCTTAATGAGACAAGCGTGTGCTTTCAAGAACCGCTGAGGCAATCACACTAGCCACAGCTCCTGGAAAGTACCCGTGCCACATCCGGAGCCCCAGTTCTGGCGCCGTGTGAGGCCCTACGGACCAGCGCTCAACGCCACCCTGGTGTGGCAAGGCTTTGGCACCCCCCATCCCATCGTATGCGAACCGCAGGTGATGTGGACGCCACCTCCACCCTGGCATTCGAGGGAGACAGAGAAGGATGAAAAGGGAGATTTGGAGGGCGAGTATCGACTCTACTTCCGGGCCGGGGGTTGGTTTACCACGCCCCAGGTCATAGGGGTCGTCTTCTCTTCCGACCCCTTGCGGGAGGGCTGGAGCTACCGAAGCAAGTATTGGGAGACAGGTGCCCGGGATCCCTTTATGCCGATCTCAGGAGCCGGATATGGAGGTACATCCTATGACGAAATCCAAGTGCAGCCTTGGATCTTTTACCAAACCGGCAGGCAACGTCGCCGCCAGAATACTCCGGACATGCCGACGATTGCCGACAGAGATGGAGGGGTCTGGTGGCTTTATGCTGGCATCCACGCAGGCCCAGAAGGCAGCTTGGTACTGCTGTCAGAAGAAGCTGTCGAGTTATAAAACTCAGGACTTCTAAGACCTTAAGACGCTTAAACCCTGAGCCGTTTTTCTTCGGGCCGTAGGGATTTAAACACACTTTCTACCAAGAACAAGAGATAGAACCTTAAACCTACGAAGCCAGAAGCCTGATATATGCGCAGCCCGCACTCCGACCGAGAAGTCCACAATCAGACCTCCGTCTCTCTCAGCGTGGATGGTCTGCACTGGCAGTTAGTCCGACGCCAGTCGGTGCCGCTTGCGGGCAACTTGTCTGCTGCCACGCCCAAGGCCCAGAAACCAAAAGCCCGAACTTGTTCAGTTTGTTTTCGGTGTGTGTGTGTGGGCTAAAAGAGTGAGTGAGAGGGAGAGAGAGAGAGAGAGAGAGAGAGAGAGAGAGAGAGTGTGTGGGTGTCAGGATGGGGTTGGGGTTCTTGAAGGTGTGTTTCAACTGTACTACATTCCTTCTGGCAGCAAGGTTGTTGAGGTGTTGAGGTTCCTTGGGACCGTTAATTTAGGGTTTCAGGTTTAGGGTTTAAGTTTTCTTGGGGTGGAAGGTGTGTTTGTTCTAGGGCTTCGTGCTTGCCCTAGTCTTGCCCTAAATCTTAAGCCCTAATGCTTAAGCATGAAGCTTCATAAGGCCCAAACCTACACTCCTACCCTAATCCCCCTAAAAGCACGGAGTCCTAAACTCTAGAAGCCCCAAGCCCCAAACCCGAGGCAACTGCACAATGTTCGGCAACAGAGTCATCTGGATTGAGGAGGAGGCCGAGCGAATCGTCTTCCACCTGCTGCAAGAGCAGCTTTGCGGATGCCCGGCCGAAGCAACAGGATTTTAGCCTCGTGTTAGGGTGTAGGGTTATCGGACATCAGCTATTCCCGAACCCGACACCCTTTGCCCTAAATCCCGCAACCCTAAACACAAAGGCCCATGGAAAATCTACCACTACACCAGTAGCGATGGGCTGTCCGACTGGTCCGTCGCATCAACCGGCCCGGCTCCTTCTCTCACCTTGGTGTTTCCCAAAATTGGGGTACAAAAGGGCGGGCTCACTACAGAGGAGATTATACTCCATTTACGGTATATCCCATGGCACCCCTCTTTTGGGAAATGCACAACTCGGCCTTTGCATTTTTTCCCACATGCTTCTTAGTAGGGCTTATTTAGGCATACTCTCCTTTCAGCACATACATGCCCCAAGCGTCCCCGATCATCTTCGCAGGTTCCAGGTCTTGAGCGCGTCCCGAATGGGATGTTTGGAGGCCCTAGCATGCCTGTGCATCCACAGTTCCTCGGCCCTGGACTTCGTCGCCCATTCGGTCTGCCAGTTCCTGCGCCTTTCGATGCCTCCGGCGCGCGCCACCTTTGGTTCCATGCGGCCGCCCTAGGGGGGAACTTGCCTACGGACGTCTACCACGCTGTGCCGCTGGGGCTAGCGGGCAGGGGATTTAGGGGGTTGATGAGGGGTTCAGGTCGCGCCGGGTATAGCGTTTAATGGTTCTGAGTTGCTTGCGAGGTTGCTGGAGGTTTTCTGCGTTCCTGATCCCATAAGCATGGCAGCCCGGCGAAATTTATCTGCCTTTAGCCGGTGGCCAGCTGTTTGAAAGCCCATTTCCCGGTCCATCTAATGCCATGCCTCCGAACTTTTGAGCTCTCAACCCTGAAGTCCTCCAATCCTCAAGCTGCTCAGCTTGGACCTCTGAACCCTGCCTCAAGAGTCCCCAGGCCAGTAAGCCCCTGAACTGAGGTCGCCAGGCTCAGCCAGTGGCCCATGGACAGTGCTCCACGTCGACAACAAGACGAACCCACTGGGAGCGGAGCTCGAGCACCGTGGCGCGTATCTGAATGACACAGAGAGATGGACAACGTGGGAGCCGCTGGGGTGCGACATGTTTTGCTTTGGGGTTCTTGGGGTTTGCCTCCACTTCCCCGGCACATGTTATTAGCCATGAAATACCCCATGCACAGTGCAGCCTTCAGCGGATTTTCACCTTATTGGTGATCTATGAACTTCCCCATGGAAATTCATGTTGCAGGCGTTCTGGTTAAGTTATCACAAATCTTCATATGATAAACAACGTGGCTTCCTCTGGCAATTACTTCAGACTTGCGAAACGGCAGCCCAGTAAAAGGTATGATCAAGTGTCCGACCCCAGCTTCACCTACTACGTGCAAGACTACTTGCTACCTCCCGCCGCCCGCCGGGCACTGTTGCTTCTGGGCCAAAAATGCGGGTTTAGGTTCTGGGTTTAGGGTTCAGGGCCCTCATCCCTCTTTGCGGGGGGTTTGGGAGTGGAAGGCTCTGGATTCGGGCGGTTCGTGGTTTCAGGTGTTGGGTGTTGTTGTTCGGGGCTTTCTCTCCAAACTTGGGGGGTTCCTTGAATACGAACTATACTAGTTGAGGGTTTGTATTCAGTGGGCCCCCTATGTGAGTGGTTGTCAAAATTATGGTCCCTTTTTGGATCCCTATTAGTACGGCACCTAACATTCAGTGTACCCCAAAAAGGGATCATAATTTGAGAACCACCCATGTTGGGAAATGCACCCACATCGCTGAGGTTCTATGACGGGGGCAACAACGCGAACGGCACGGGAAACATTGGCATGGCTGTGGGCTGGGCGGAGGAGATGTTTCCCGGAGGTCTTGCATCAAGTCAGAGGCAGGAGCCCTAGGACTTGTGGGTTTAGGGTTTCGGGGGGAGCAGGAGGGTTGGAGGGTTTAGGGGCTGAGCAGTTTACGGTCTATTGCGTTCCTTGATGGCTCCTTGAAGCAATCTTAAAGTGAGGTTAGGGCTTCAGCCCCTAAGGACACGAGACCATCCAATGATCCCCAGTCTTGAGGGATCCAACAGATTGCAGGGGGTTGAGTTTTTAGGGTACGAAGAGGATTGAGGGATATCCAAAGACAACCCACAACCCATAGCCAACTAACCAGAGAACAGCCCTGAACACACTGGCCTAAGCCGACTAACGCCGCAAAACCCACCACCAATCCCTTCTCAACGCAGGTGGACCCTTTCTCATTCTTGAGCCAAACGTGCACAGTGCACGGTCCCGTCCATCAGGGTTTGTGCCTTCGCATAGGGTTCAAGGTCTAGGGGCACCTAACAGCTCTAAGCCCCAAGCTTTGCAGGCCATCTTCGAACTTTGACTCCACTCCCATCGCGATCGTTTGAAGCCTTGGGAAATCCCGAGATGGTGTTCCCTTGCATCGCTTGTGCCTGCCTCTGCCAGCAAGCAAGCCTTGGGCTTCATTGTTCTTGATACGTGTTGTTTCGTGTTTGTAAAATTATTCACATGCTAGCATTTTCTGTTTTCTCAATATGATTATTTCTATCACCAGTATCGATGCTGTTGCCATTGTCATTGCCATTTCATTTTCATTGTCATTGTTTGTGTTAGTACCACTATCGTTTAGTTGTTGTTGCCATTATTGTTGTTTTTCTATCATTATCTTGGTTTGTGTTATCATCCCCATTTGATGCAGCAGCAGCTGCACGGAGAAATGGCCAGCTCCATGCCAAAGAGAACGCCGCCGCAAAAAAAATAGGGCTGTGGGTCATTTTTTTTGAGGATGGTGGTGATGATGATGATGCTGATGCTGATTCTGATGCTGATGGTGATGGGAGATGATGATGATGATGATGATGATGATGATGATGATGATGATGATGATGATGATGATGATGCGCTGCTGATGAAGATGCTGCTGCCGACGGTTGTTGTTATGATTGGTATGTTTTGCTTTACAGGTGGTTAGCAGAGTTTATGGCTTTCGGGGCTAGAGGGACCTGACTCTGGAGTCCACAACTCAAAGCTCAAAGAACCCCAGGGGTTGTACCAAGTCCTAACGCATGCAACACTTACTCGCTTAAGTGAAGGACCGTGACAGCCGCGCCAGACCCGGAAAGAACTTTCACAAACATCACCCCCCCCCCCCCCCCCCCCACACAATGAACCGGAAACCCCTAGTGCAAGGGCACGGGGGAATCAAGGTGGAAGGAGACTGGGGGCTCCAGGGATTAGGGTTTAATAGGGCACAGGGATGAGGGATTAGTACAGTATGGCTGGACGTTGGTGTTGGGTGGAGGTTTGGCGTCAGTGAGTAGGTAAAGGCCTGATGTCTACTCGTCCAGCACTTTATAGGCTATGGTAAATAAAAAACAAGGTGTTCTAAAAGTCTACTCGCTGCGCTGTACATGGCATAGTCAGCAGAACCAAATCATGACACGATCACGATGCAACGGGGGCATATGACATGACAAAAGGCTACGCAGCATGATAGCAGAAATGATGAGTGCGATGAAGTAAAGAATCATTCAACTCTCGTGGTTGAAAGAATGCCACCTGCCAGGGCACCATGGAAGCCAAGCAAGCAACGTGAGAATCTAAAGGTGATGGACACAGAGTTTTTGGGAGTGGAGGCAGGGGTAAAGGCATTTTGAGCTCTCGAACATCGAGTCGAAGTCCCAAAGCCCAAGAGCATGGGAAGATGCAAGCGACTGCCGCAGCCCACCAGCCACAGATGCAACACGTTTGTATGTATTTAGTAATTTAAAGCAGAGTATACTACGGTGTATGAAGACTATAAATATTTCGTATACTACAGTATGCTATAGTATACGATAGTCTACCATATTGTTCTAAGCAGTTCTAGTCCGACCTTTTTGCCCTGCCCATATTACCCTGTCCCAAGCCCCCAAAGCTCCTAAGCCTCGTCCTCAAAACCTTGCAGCCTCACAGAACTTTGAGTCGGCTGCGCTACAGTAGACACAGACTCTTTTGACACTGAGCTCCAGTCAAGGCTTGTGTGTAGTTGGCAACGAGGCCTGTGCGCTCGGTTTCTCGGGGCAATGCAGTCGTTCCATGTTTCAACCCGACTTACGATCGTCCTTCTTTCTTTTCTGGTGGCGGTCGTGATCCTTGTGGTTTTCATCCCGTGGCCTGCAGTACAATCAGTGCCCATGGGGCTTGTCGTTGTCCAGACGCCTCCTGCGACTGTCCTTGTCCAGACCCCTCCCGCGACTGTCCTTGTCCAGACCCCTCCTGCGACTGTCCTTGTCCAGACGCCTCCTGCGACTGTCCTTGTCCAGACGCCTCCTCCGCGCAAGTTGGTCTTCATTGCCATCACGTCGGTGAACAGGGCGGAGAGGGATGCGGCTCGGGGGACCTGGTGCGTGGTGGCGAGGCAGTATGGCAACGTTGGCTACACGTTCTTCACTCAGGTGGGCGTGGATCGCCACGATGCGGCGAGGTGGGGGAGCCCGTCGGCGCTGAATAGGGAGAGGGAGGAGTTTGGAGACCTGGTGATCTGGCCTCACAACCTGTCCGGCATGGCCTTTGGCATTAGGCAGCTCATGATGCTTCAAGACTACCGAGCCATGAACGAGACCTATTACTTTTTCATATACATCGATGACGACACCTTCCCTTGTGTCCCGATGATATCGAGCGAGCTGCAGTGGGTTGTCCACAAGAGCGCGGGTGGCCCTGTGCCTCGCATCTACGCGGGGCTTCTGCACTGCGATGGCCGGGGCCGTTACAGGCACGACCAGCACTTCTTGGTGCTGGAGGACAGCGTCGTGGGCGACATATTGGACAGGCAAAGCAGGCTCGTGTGCGACAAGTACAGCGGGACCAGCACAGGGGGCTGGGTGTCGCTCGTGGAGAAAGAGGCCGCTCCTGTGGTGTGGCATGACTTGACACTTGATCCGTCGACGGATCCGTCGAACAGGCTCACGGTAAATAAGAGGCCCAGGTGGTGCTTCAACAGCCTGTACGCCGGGGACCTGGAGCCGGGCGAGTTTGCAGGGGTGCTGCATAAGTCCTGGAACAAGTCGAATGTTCAAGGCGCCATGGCGCTGGACCAGAAGCGACTCTCGTGCCGGGGTAAGGTGCCTGAAGGAGACCTTTACTACGACATTGTGAAGTTCGCACAGGGGCCTTACCGTGGCGGGTTGAACTGCATCACCGATGGCTGGCGCTACTCAACAATTCGGTGGCACTAACGGAACTAGCCGGATTTCCGTCGAGAACTGGTGTTGACGGGTTTCACACGAAATTGACAAGTCCGTGATGGTATAGGTGTGGCCAGTGCAGGAATCGTGGGAGCATGCATGTGTTCGCGAAGATGCGTGCAGATGTGTGCCGGCCCAACACCTGCGGGAAAGGAAGCGCATCCGCAGCCTGCTGTGTGTAAGGTCACTAGCCCAGAACTTCAAGGGTGACACCCCAAGATTGGTTTTGGGCTTCAGGTTGGCCTTCCAAGACAATTTAAAAAAGGTTGAGTTTCAAATGTCTATGCCGCGTGAGGTTCTGGCGAAGGGCCTAGGTCCTGGTGCCTGAAGTATCCTGCACCCGTTGAACATCCCCATCGCCGAGAGCCTCCATCCCGCAATACTTAAACCCAGAGAGTTGTGGGCTGCATCCAATGGTTTAGCGGTTAAGGCCTGGGGTTAGGTGTGTCTGGTTCTTACAGAACCCATCCTCGAATTGTGCTGACATGTGAGCACTCCTAGCAGCCCAGACCTTTGCAGTGTCCTTGGGAGGTCTGCTGGCTAGTGTTCGCGTTTGTCACTGTTCTCCTCACAACGCAGATGCCCCTTAGGCAGCAAACTGCCGTTGGGGGGTGTCGGGCCTGAACCCTAAGAAATCAGCCGTGTGGCATCCTTGTCTGCTGAGAGTTTTCGGTGTCATGCCTACCACGGCATCAGCAAGGACTTGCTCCGGTCTCCTGGAGACCAGGAGACGAACAACCTGTCCCTTTGTCAGCCCAAGACCCCATGATGCCCTCAACCCCGAACCTTTGTCGAGTCTCTGCCCTGTCGCCCAAAAAGGCCAACCCTGAGTCACTCTTTGCCGTTGCAAGACGTTTGCTTTCGATCTTTCCAGTGTTAACCTTTGGCGCCGTTCGGCTGAGTTTCTTTTAGGTTTTGGAGTTTATGGGCTTTATGGGTTTAGGGGTGTAAAGTTTTAGGGTTTAGGGACCCCCCAGCCTTTAACCTCGATCCCCAAATTATCTTGCCGAGACGGCGGAACTGAGTCCCGGGCCCAGCGCAACCCCGCTTCCTGCTTTTGGGGATTCTAAGCACAACCCTAAACCCTTGAACCCTTAAAATCCCTAGGCTCTCAGACCCTGAAACCCTGAGCCCAAAGGCAATTATAGTATGGTCATTGGGCTACGTGGACGCCTAGGACCTTAAGAGCTCAAAAGTCTAGGGGTGCATCATGGGCAATGGTGGTCGCTGTGAGCACATTGGTGCATCTCCATGCGCTTTACAAAGTGCAGCCTCTCAGCTCCCCGTTTAACCCGAAGTCCAAAACCCAAGCCCTAAACCCTAAAATGCCCTGACGCCTAAACGCCAAACCCTCAACCCTGCACCCTAAATGTTGCTGTGCGTGCGGAGTGAGACGCCAAGGGGGGAGAGACAACAGAGGAAGTAACGCCGGGAGGCTCAGAAAGCTGAACTTGAGCCTTGAACCGACTGTTCAAGGGCGGTTTACTACAGTAGGGTTTCGGGCTTACGTAGGGCTAAGGCTTGTAGAGCTTAGCGCTTGGGCTTGTTGATTTCGGGTTTAGGGGCGGCCATAAGACCCAAAGAAGGCTTCGTCATTAAGAGCTCCTTGGGTCTGGCTTAGGGCTTAGAGTTTAACATCTCAA